TACACATACACATAAAAGGAAGATCAATTATAACTACTATTATTCAAATTTACACACCAACAACTAAAGCCAAAGATGAAGAAACTGAAGATTTTTACCTAAGTCTGTAGTCTGATATTGACAAAGCAAGCAATCAAGATGTATTGATTTTTACTGGTGATTGGACTATAAAAGTTGCAAACAAAGAAAAAAGTATTGGTACTTGGAAACTATGGCCTTGGTGATAGAAATGATGCCAGAGATTGCATAATAGAATCTTGAAAGATCAATGATTTATTCGTTGCAAATACCTTTTTTCAGCAGCATAAATAGAGGCTATACATGTGGACCTCAGAAAATGGAATACACAGGAATAAAATTGACTACGTCCATGGAAAGAGGCAATGGAGAAGCTCAATATCTTCAGTCAAAACAAGACCAGGAGTTGATGGTGGAACAGACCATCAATTGCTCACATGCAATTCCTTCAAGTTGAAGCTGAAAAAAATTAAAATAAGTCCACAAGAACCAAAACATGACCTTGATTATATCCCACCTGAATTTAGAGACCATATGAAGAATAATTTTGGCGTTTCAACACCAATGACCAAAAACCAGACAAGTTGTGGGATGACACCAAGAACATGATATATAAAGAAAGTAAAAGGTCATTAAAAGGACAGGAAAGGAAGAAAAGACCAAATGGATGTCAGAAGAGACTCTGAAACTTGCTCTTGTACGTAGAATAGCTAAAGCAAATGAAAAAAATGATGAGATAAAAGAGCTGAACAGATTTCAAAGGGCAGCTTGAGAAGACAAAGTAAAGTGTTACAATGAAATGTGCAAAGACTTGGAGATACAAAACCAAAAGGGAAGAACACACTCAGCATTTCCGAAGCTGAAAGAATTGAAGAAAAAAATCAAGCCTCGAGTTGCCATATTGAAAGATTATACAGGCAAAATATTGAATAATGCAGGAAACAGCATCAAAAGAAGAAGGAAGTAACACACAGAGTCACTATACAAAAAAGAATTGGTCAACATTCAACTTTTTAAGGAGGTGGCATATAATCAAGAACCAAAAGTGTTGGAGGAAGAAGTTGAAGCTGAACTAAAGGAATTGGAGAAAAACAAGGCTCCAGGAATTGATGGAATACCTACTGAGATGTTTTGATAAATGGATGCTGCAATGAAGGTGCTTACTTATCTATGCCAAGTAATTTGGAAGACAGCTACCTGGACAACTTACTGGAAGAGATCCATACTTGTACCCATTCCAAAGAAACGTGATCCAACAGAATATGGAAATCATTGAACATTATTATATGCAAGCAAAATTTTACTGAAGATAATTCAAAAGCAATTACATCAGAATATTGAAAGGGAGCTTCCAGAAATTCAAGCTAGATTCAGAAGAGGACATGGAATGAGGGATGCTGATGTCAGATGGATATTGGGTGAAAGTAAAGAATACCAGAAGCATGTTACCTAACTATGCAAAGGTGTTCGACTGTGTGGATCATAACAAGTCATGGACAACTTTGCAAAGAATGGGAATTCCAGAACACTTAATTGTGCTCGTGAGGAACCTGTGCAAAGACCAAGATCCCATAGTTCAAAAAGAACAAGGGAATGCTGAAGGGTTTGACATCAGGAAAGGCATGTGTCAGGGTTGTATCCTTTCACCATACTTATTTAATCTGTATACTGAGCAAATAATCCAAGAAACTGGACTGTATGAGGAGAAACATTGCATCAGAATTGAAGGAAGACTCATTAACAACTTATATTGTGTAAATGACATAATCTTTCTTGCTGAAAGTGAAGATGACTTGAAGTACTTACAGATGAAGATCAAAGAGTATAGCATTCAGTATAAAAAGATCAAAGAGTATAGCCTTACACATCAACATCAAGAAAACATAAATCCTCACAAGTGGACTAATAAGCAACATCACTATAAATAGAGAAAAAATTGAAGTTGTCAAGGATTTCTTTTTCCTGGGATCCACAATCAATACTCATGGAAGCAAAAAAAAAAAAAAATTCACTGCCATCGAGTAGATTTGACTCATAGTGATCCCTCCTTGAGTTTCCAAGGTGGTATCTCTACGGAAGTAGATTACCCAATCTTCCTTTCAAGGAGTGGC